ACGTTTCTTGCGTTTTAGGCAATGGACAAAAAAATATTAGGTATATAATTTATTGAAATAAATTTATAATAAGGTTTCTAATTAGCAATTGATATGCGTTTGATGTGGACTTTCAATGTTTCTTTTATTGAATCATTCAAATATTTTTATTGTGTTCTTATCTTTCAAAATTCAGATAAGTTTTCTACTCCAATTTAGGTTTTTATTTACCATACCCACATCTCAATACTTCTATCAGAACAATTTTCGATAATTACGAGTTCGTATTTATTGTTCTATGGCTTATCTATGTCGTTATTATTCGTGTTACTGTAGGTCTGCTGTGCGGTATTATCGTGGTCGGCGTCGTTTTCCATTTGCTCGCACGTATGGTTGTGTAAGGCGATTTGGCTATAGCCGTGGGAGGCTCTTTGGTTATCGTCGGCCCTATCACCGCACGAATTTCCGGCTTCTGAACTATAGGCGGTTTCGTTAAATAATTTTTTTGAGGGTTGTATTATCTAAATTTTGGAAATAGGGTAAAATGGCGTTGATTATGAGATTTTTTTTTTATATAATTTTTTATCATGTACCAAAAAAAAATACGGATGTGTTGTGTGTTTAAATTTGATCTTGTATTTTTTTTGGAGGGGGGGGGTGTATTTATGGCCATCTCTGGTTAATAAGTGTCGCGTTTAATTTATTCTTTTTACTTTTCTTCTGTAGTTTGTAAACTTCTAAATTTCGCAAGAACTTTATAAATTTTTTTTTCTATTGAATTCAATTTTATTTATATGTCTTACCATTATGTTTCTGGTGGTAGCTATTTTGGGGGCGGTATTTGGGAGTATCGTGATTTGGGACCAAACCATAAACGGACGATGATTGTCCTGCGGGCTACCCATCTAGCGACCCCTTTGTGTAATTTAAATCTGCCCAGTACGGTTGCTAAAGGGGATTATCGTGCTGTGGCGGATGCGTTTCGTGAAATTTTTTATCGTGATTATTGCCTTACATCTGTTTGGAAATTATCCGTGTTGTATGATTACGGTTTGGATCCCAAGACGGGGTGTTCAGTGAATACCGCTGATTCTGTCTCGCGGACTAATTTTGGCGTGCGGGTGATGGGTTCTGTGTATCGGTTATCGATCATGTCGGATATTGACTATCGCTTTATCTTTGAAATACCCATTTCTTTAAAGGATGGATTATTTGTGGAGCCATCCTATATACCGTATCCGACTTATGGCTTAATTTCAGATTTTGAGCCTAAAGTGCGTGTGAATAATAAGAATCTGGAGGTGCAGACGGGTCCGTTGGAACGGTCGTTCGTGGTCCACTTGTATTTGATGGATGTGTATGTGCCGGTGTGTGAGACGGTGGACAATCCCGTTGATCTGTACGATGATGAGATTCGTGAACGGTTTAAATTAATTCATTTTGAGGAGGCTCGACGTTTGGCGTTCCCGAGAAGGTTTTCGAGGGATCGTGATTCGGGTTTGGATCCCAAAGTGAAATTATTGACGCGGTATCGGCCTCGGATTATCCAATATGAGAAGTGTTATTTCCAAAAGAAATCCAAGTATCAGTCCGTTACGCGAACGTTTCAATTGCCTTTTGTTTTTGGGATGAATCGGTATGCTGGGAATCCCAGCGCCTATTGTACCTTGTTCCGTGTTCGAGGAACGTCTGAAATTGAGATTGTAGGACCATCTCGGCAGTTGTTTTTTCTTGCTTATTCGGAATTTATAGATAAATCTACCTCGTCCGATGTATTGCCACCCAAGCTATCGATAAGTTATAGTTGGCAAGCTCGTGCGACCTTAAAATTTAAAATGCATCATTCTTATGGGTTTAATTATGGTTTGAATACGTCTGTGGCGTTGGGCGCCTATGATCCGTATAGAGGGTATGCCAATCCTTATTTCAATGGGCTACTTGGGATTTTGACCGGTCAACAAAGTAAAAATAAAGATGCTTATGTACAAGTTATGACGATATTGAAGAAATATCATATCGATGGCGAAGCGTTGACGGAGGAGGAGATTAATTATTTGCAGAGTTATTTTGAGGATGAAATGGGCGTTGATTATGGTCCGGAGGAAGAGCGTGAGACTAAGGTTGATTCATCTGGAGCGCCTTTGATGTTGGAGGGTACCGATAAAAATGACAACGAAGAGTCATCTGAATTTAGTGACGATGGTGACAAAGGTCCCGATGACGGTGGTAATGGTGAGTGTTGGGGTGGTTGTGGGAATGGAATAACAAAGATTGACAATAGTCCTTTAAAGAAAATAAAGGATCGTTATCGGGATGCAAAGGCAACTATAGAGTCTTTGCAAAAGAAATACAATGATATATTGAAGGCTATGCAATCCCAATATGATAAGATTGAAAATTCTAAACTTATTAAATTTCAAAAAATATCTGGTGCTATTGAAAATCGCCACACCGAAACGCAACAGTTGCTAATTCAATGGCGTGATGAGCATGCCAAACGGCGTTCGGATGTGATTGGTGAAGTTCGGAAGAAAATTCAGAATGATGTTTCTGCTGGTAAATTTCAAGTGTACGCATCGGATGTTATTGAGGATGACAACGTCAAGGGGTGGAAACCGATGCTAGTGGTGAATCGGATTCGATATTTTGGTTCGTCTGTCACATTGATTCCGTGGAAATATCGATCGGAATTGACGCCCACGATTCTTGATATAGAATATAATACCGGGTTAAACAATCACACCGGTGAGTTGTATCTTTATCAGCCATATGTGTCTGTAGGAATGTATATGTATAATTTATTAGTCCCGACGGATAATGATAGAAAGGCTGACGAACCGGCACCCTATGTTATAAGTAGTCAAACGATCCTAATGTATGCCAGTATTCAAGTGGCTTTTTATAAGCAACGAGCTAGCAAAGAAGGTTCTTATTACATTTATGATCCGGATTCTTATCATATGACTCTTCCTAAATTATATTTATATGATCCTCCAAAAGCAAATGCTGTAGACCAAACATATATGAGTGGGGTTATACCTTATCTCCAGTATCGCAGGTTTCTTTTTATATTTTTTCTAGAACCCAAAAAAGCCCCTAGTGCGACATCCGATAAGGATGTTTTGCGTTTACATAATCATGTGAGTTATTCTCATGTGCCGAGTGTGGTGACTGGGTCGAAGTTGAAAGATAACTATTAGGATCAAACCGCAAAGGCCATCGAGTATAAGATTTTTCCGATCCCCCAACTTTCAGCTAATACTAATTTATAGACTTCTAATGGGGAAGTTATTATGCCGTTTGCCGTTGTGAAATTAGAAAAAAATATATAAAATTTTATTTAAACTGCTGTTATGGGTAATTATGTTTTTGTGGAAGTTTTGAACGAGCGGTTAGAAGATTTGGAAAATGAGATCAAGGACAAAATTGATAAGGGAAAACAGGAGGATGCTGATAAAGAAAAGGAGGCCGATGAGAACTGACGAAAGGAGGAATTTGAATTGTTTAAGAAAGTTGAGCAAATTAAACAGGATAATCCTAAGGGATTGTTTGATCATCAATCGAAAACTGAGGATTCGAATCGACAGGCTATAATGGCTAAAGAACAAGCATTTCAGATCCAGATGGCTAATGATCGCATGTGTCATGAAGATCGATTGGAATCTGCTGGACATAGTGATGCTACAATTGGTCATATAATTAGTGGTGTTGGTGCTTGGGTTTGGACGGATGGGGAAGTGGCCAGTATGTATTTAATGGGCAAATGGTTTAAGCCGTCTTATAAATAATCTGCTTCTGTTGAAACTGTACATATCGGATCGGATGATTCTAAAGGGAAGTTGGGTTATCCCGAACGACCATTAATAGGACAAAAGCGTGATCGTCCTTGGGATGATCCACATGGAGGTGCCACTTCAAAGCATACCAAGACTTTACCACAACATCTATCTTCTATTGAATTTAAACCCCATAAGCCTGGTAAATATTCTAAAGGTAAAGCTAGTAGTGTTGTTGTTGAACCTATCGACTATTCTCAACCTGGATCAAAGATTTCTGAAACTCTATCTGGTGGTAAGTATCCACCTTTGACTGGTTATGAATCTGAACCCCATAAGCCTCCTAAACAATTGAAAGGCCCCGTCACGGGTGTAATAGTGCACGGCAGTCCATCGTCTAGTGAAATAATGCAGAATTTGACTCAGGTTCGACCTCCTCGTTTACGTGGTTCTGAATCCGATTTTTTTGAATATAGTGGGCCCCCACGAATTAATCTATTTGAGAATGTTGGAAAACCGACCTTAGATTATGCGGATAAGCGTTCACATCATGGTCCTTCATTGTATGATGATCGGCATTCTCCGTTTCCTAAATATGAATCGGTTCGTCGACCGTTGCCGTGCCTGTCACCGGGCATTTTTCATCCTAAGACTAGTCCTATTAATTTCGATCCGCTTTTTGGATCTTCTGGTAAATTTTTTGTAGGAAAAAAAACTAGGTTCCCCCGGTAGTTCCATCTAGTGGGACTGTTGTCCGTCCCAGGGGAGGCGACGATAAAAATCGGATGTTGGGCCAAAATGAGCTTGATCTCCAGCGGAAAGCAGCGGAGGATGCTCTGAGAAGAAAGGATGAGGAATAAAGGATGAAAATGGAGGACGAAGCAGGACGTATTGCTGTCGAAGAACGAGCACATATAGCCACCGAGGAAAAAGTACGACGTGAAGCTACTGAGGAAGAGGAAAAAAAAATAAGGAACAGATTTTGGTTGTACAGAACTTGGAACCCCGTAAAAGTGAGATGATAAAGTTGGGCGTCTCTGACGATGAATTTGATTGCATGGTTGAACGTTTACGACAATATAGGGTTAGTGATTTTTTGTTTGATTTTTATTTGTTGATGGTGAGCGAGCGGATTGTCAAATACTGTCACGAGGTTCAAAAAAAAGATGAGACTATGGAATTTGAAAGGGTTGAGTGTGACATTCGGTATTTAAATAGTCGTGAGACTCGTGATATGGTTTCATGGACTTCTCAATACAGAATTGAAAAGGAAGTGGTCGATAGGAAACTTGATTTGTTTAGAGAACAAAAACAGAACAAGGTAGGTGAACGTGAGACCTTCATAAAGGGTGTTCAAAAAAAAATTGATGTTCGAAATGTTGAATATGAAAGACAAGTTGATGGAATAAAAAATGATTTTTATAATTATTGTAAGGATAAACATGTTACTTATGGGATTCTTGAACATATTGATACAAAAAAAATATTGGATTCGCGATCTACGTTGGGGGGGAGTAATAATATATTCATGAAAATGATTTTTGATGTGGGGTATATTATCCTCTCAACTTTGTCATATGTTTATCCAGTGGCGGGTGGCATATCGTTGGTTATTATGGGTCTTACTCGATTGTTGACCCAATTTGTGGATACAACAAAGTATCCACCAGATTATGTTATTGGTTATAATAAAAGTTATTATATGTATGAAACGTCCGATGATCCAATGATGGGTCGGATTTCTAGACCTATTCGGAGTGAGATTTACCCGTTGCGTTTTAGTTTGTCGGAATCAGAAGAACAGGTAAAAATATGTGCGGAAAGACTTGAAAATTGTGCTTCGGAATTTAAAAAGTGGGAAACAGAATGTACTGAGGAAACTAATAGTGAATGGGGAAGAATCGGAGGTGCCATTCAAAATCTTGATGTTGATATTTCGTATACCCATACCATTCAAAACGAATTGGCTAAGGGTGAGGTTTATTATGCGCAATATGTGTTGGGTGGATTGGATTTATTGCTGAATATGTCCTGTACTGAGGTTCTCCATTTTGAAAATAAAAAAAAGGATTTAGAGGTCAAGCATAATATTTCGGATGCGGAGCGTGTTTGTTTAAATGATAAGTATAGAACTTTGATTCGTGATTATAAAGTGAGTGATCCACAATTGGGAAGTGGTGTGGAAAATGATTCTATTATTGAACGTGTTGCGAATGGGTATTTAGATGAAAAAAAAATGCGACAGAATGATTTGGATGATAGATTATATTTGAATGATAAGGTCCGGATAGAATTATTGCAAAATATATCTGAGATGCGTCTTCATATTGAAGAAATAAATGGTGATCGCGTGGCCTGTATATATAATTGTTTACTTTTAAAGGATGAGGAATCGAAAGAAACGAATAAGTTGTTCGTTATACAGAAACTCAAATACTTATTTCGACGGTTGCAATCTAATATTTGCACCGTGTGTGATTAGATTTTGGTTCATGAAATGAACTTTGCGATTTGAGTTTTGATGAGGTTCACATTAATATAATTTGATTTGATTTTTTGTATAATTTGTGGTGTATTATAAGCGATTGTTCCAAAATTGATGGATATCTGAAGTTATTTGATGATTTTAAGACTAATTTAAGTATTTCCGATAAAGCCGAAAATGAGTTATATAGGGAACTTATGGATTCCATATGTGGTTTTGGTCAGGATCGTGATATTCTTTGGCGAACCATTTTAAGTCGTTTAAAAAATGGTCAGACTAAAGGAATGGTATTTGATTATTTGAGAGATTTGGAGGGAAAATTGAAGGCGGAGTTTAAAAAAGATCAGAGAATTAAAGAGGAGCGTGCAAAGATGATTCGGAATATTTGTCAATATACGAATGATTTAC